CCGAAAAATCTTGAACTTCAAAAGGTTCATAAAGTGGTACCGAAATCTGGAACCCTAAACAGTTTATTATGACCCTTTTTCTTTTAATAGAAGCGTTATATGAAGCGTGACACAAGTCGGTTCTAGGAAATATCGAAGCGTTGATTTATTATGAATTTTCTTCTGAGAAACCAAAAAAAAGGCAGCACCCTACAATAGAGATCTTGTGAACTGAATATCTCACGAATGGTTTCAGCAAGTCTGTTGAAACTCGTTGCGAATACGCATATCCGTGAGTTATGTCCAAAATAAAACTTTTAGCTGCATAGGTCGGGTACTTTGTACTCGACGAATTTCACTTCAAGAGGAAAAACCGCAACTTTGACCATTTTCGATGCTCTATATCTCAAACTGGCAAGTGGTACAGATCTAAATTTTTTAGGGAACATAGAAACTATAAAGATTTTTTTTTCCGTAAAAATTTGAGCTCGACTGAGTGTTACTTTGTGGCCGAGAACATCATTAAGGTTGACTTTTTTTTGACGAAAACCGCTATGTTCAGTTAATAAGAATAGATCTCTATAGCGTCTATGTACCCTGAAAAATTTAAATCTCTACCACTTGCCAGCTTTGAGATGTAGAGCATCGAATATGGCCAAAGTTGCAGCTTTTCCTCCTGCAGTGAAATTCATGAATTACAAAGAACTTAATCTATTTAACTAAAATTTTTATTTTGATCGTAACTCATAGACATGTGCATTCACAACGCACTTCAACTCATTTGCACAGGCCGTTCTTGAGATATTCAACCCACGAGTTCCCTATTATAGGGTGCTCTGTTTTCAGGACTTTCAGAAAAAATTCATAAAAAAATCAACGCCTTCATATTTTCAAGAAACGACTGGCGTCAAATTTTGTATAACGATTGCCTTTATCACATATCTTCAATTGAAGAAAATTTGACATCTCCAATTGACCACGGCCTGTCCTGGCTTATATAGACTGATTCTTGTTATAAAATCTATCACACCGGCGACTTGACTGTAATTAAGGAAAAGAATAAACGTTTCTCTGCTTCATTTGACCTTTGACAAGTATTCAATGAGAAGCGCATAAAAGTAGAGTAAAATGCAAAGAGGAAGCTTTAAGTGCTATTAAATCACTTAATGCAGTTCATGTACAAACAATTATGTTTTCCCTACATTGAACATGTAACGTTCTCAAGTTATATTAACGCTCATGTTCACACGCATGGAGATAATGTTACGTGCACTCCCAGTGTCAAGAAATTTTCTTACATATTTCAGTGCTAAAAGCTTCAATTATCTTACTGTTTAAAAAAGGTAATTAACACTCAAGCATGCATCAGTCAAAACACGTCTGTCTACGTAACTGATTTTTTGTTTCGCCATCACGAGATCGACGTATATAGTGCATCGGGCACAGCTGCGACTCATATTCAACTTTGCGGACATAGTATGTCTATCTTTAGTTTATAATTTCAACTTGAACTTCGATGTCTATGCAACATTTAAGTTAAACATCAGGCAAATAATAAAATGTCCATTTCCATTCAGTACCTATATCATTTAAAAGTATTTTTAAATGAAGGATGTTTCATTCGTGACAAAAAATAGCGATTTAGAGTTAAGTAACTATGTACCAACTTTACCATGAACGATAAATGAAGAGAAAACACTGCTATTATTCTTCATTTATGGGGTGCTTACGGTTTTTTTCCATTTCCATTTATATTTTAAGCCGAATTCAACAACTACTTTGTTATGATTCATTTTGGTTTGTCCACTATTGAAGACTAGGTAGAAATGAGATGGTAAAGCATATTTCTTGTAGGTATAATCATATTTCCATTATGTCTGATCATTTTAACTGTAGAATTTATCGATTTCGTATTTGACCCGAATGATGAACTTTCTCAATTCAGTTTCTGCAGGAAGGTAGACTATCGGTTTTGGTTCTCATCCTCTGCTTTTCGCGCGAAACAACGATCTCCATAATCGATTGAAAAGTGTTTTAATCTGCGTGAAACATGAATTCTTATACGAGTTTGCTGTTCAAAGGAACGTGCTATGAGATACACTGAAGATAGTTATTGCAAACAGATGTATGCTTATTACACAAATCTGAAATTTTACTCATAGTGTGTGTAATTCACGCTAACTTCTAAAAGTCTTGCCGGAAAGAACTGAAGAAAGCAACACTCGCAAACCTGAAAATGACATGCGTCAAATTCATACGAGGATGTTCATGATGCTTCGTATTGAAGGAGAACTTTCTATTTATACTACAACTATATAATACTTACTGTTCGTTCTAACAGAAATACCGAATATCTTCAATATGTCGTTTTCTATTTTATATTTGCATAAGATGTCGTCTTTTAGTCAAAATAATACAAATTCCTCTGAACTTCTTGAGACTTCTTCAACAAGACTCGGCAAATTTGTCTTATTCGTTTGTCTTCAACCTCCTGCTCTGTTGTGCAACTTCTTTCTCGTATATCATCTTATTGTTGATCGAACTCTTCGTCGAACACTTCATCATCACGTCGTATTGGCGTTGCTCATCGTTAGTCTTTTGACAAATTCAATTGAAGTTCCTCGCATTCTAGCTTTTCTTCATATGGGATTCGTCACGCCAGCAACGACAATCAACTGCCTCATTTGGCAGTGGTGTGATTTTACGCTTTGCAGTCTTAACAATATGCTCATGTGGTGGATGTCGATAGAACGACATTTGTTAGTATTTCACTCGAATTTGTTCAACACATCGAAACATCGTTGGCTTCTGCATTACATACCACTTATACTATTGGTGATCTATGTCGCTGGTTTCTATGCCATAGTGATTTTTGTGTATCCATGCGAGCCAAAACCCGACTATCTGTCTGTTCTTTGTGGCCTCCCATGTTTTTCTCTCGAATCAGTGATCTCAACATTTGATCTATTGGCTCACAATTTGATTCCTTTGTTCTTCGACATTTTTCTCAGTATTGGTGTGGTCGTTCGAGTATTGTACAGAAAAGCGGTCTATATGCAGCAACCTATTCAATGGCGAAAATATCGCAAGATGATTTTACAACTACTGATTTTGTCAATTCTCTATTGTATAACAGTGGCTCCATATACTTTCATTTCGTTCATTGGTCTATTCAGTGGTTTACCTGCTCGCGCTGCGTACATACAAACAGTATACTTCTATTATCTATTTTGGTTACTTGAAGTACTATTGCCTCTTGTGTGCCTGGTGTCCATCACTAAAATGCGAGTGAAGATCAGAAAAGTGTTTACAAGATTTATCAGACGAAGGAACATTGTGATACCTTTACGGCGAATGTAACTCATCATGAAGCAGCAGAGTTTTCTCTTAGTAATTGCATCGACGACTCGTTTAGTGTTCTTGCGAAGAGAGTTCATGATGACTATTGTGACACTGATTATGTGATGTGTGCGAATGATTACTTTGTTGTTAAAAAAAATATTCTCGAAAAGGAATAGGGATCAATATAGCGGAAGTTCCTCTGAAGATTCCATCCAAAAATAATGAATGAAATTTTGCCGGATAATCAAACTATTAAGATAAGATTGTGATTTGAGATTGGTGTAGAAAGTTACTGCCTCGTCGTCAACTCTAATTTGACACACTTGCCGAGCATGTGACGATATGTGCAATGGTGTTGAATGCGGACCGGCAGGTTTGTCGTTTACAGATCTGTACTAGCTGAAGTTTTGAAACTGATCGATTTTCAGTAGCTTTGATATTGATTTTAGGGCACTGAGGTGAATCTATTTTACTTGGTTTTTGCCGATTTCTACGATTTTAACGACCTACCCATAAAACGTCAAAAGTGTTTGTTCGACAAACTTCTAGTTTGCCATTCAAATTTTTGCTCTACGTGTTGAGATCAAACTTTCTCATCATACAATGATGGTCTTGAATCATGCTGATTGCATTTTATATGGTTACTAGAAGTTGACCAGACCTTACAAGCTAAGCACTGTCTAAATCTAAGATTTTTCATTTCAAAACATCTAACACACTTTTCTAGACAGATTTTAATTGAATGACAGAAACTTTCAATTACTCACAGTTCTCAGTTTATGTTTTTATTACTAGCATATCTCAAAAATATCAGTTTTGTTGTGTTCGACACTGATCACCTTGTTCTATTTGCTTATTTTATGAAAAGATATTTTGTTGTCAATCGAATCACTTGTTCATGTGCATTAGATTATCCTCGTAGAACATTCATCACAATAGATTATGATACCTATCATTGTCTTTATATTTGCTATATCATTCAACAATGCAAGCGACAAATTATTTTTTTAACTTACTTGTTCCATTAAAATATTTTAAAGGTTAATAATGATGGTCAGTTTTCACTAGTAACTCATAAGAAATATTGTATTTTATTTTGTATAACAGATCTAGTTTGAGGGTATAACTGTGGATAAAGAGAAGATCCACACTCACATCTTGATATCATTGTAGATTTCGAAAATATCTCTAACATGCACAAGATTTCATTACTTCTGAAAGACACTTGCTTATTTTGCAGATCTAATTTTACAAAAAGAATTAGCTCATTGCGCTAGACATCATTATTTGTTCAGATAGTTTCAAATACCATCCATAAAGTTCCGCAGTCTTCGAGCATCTAAACTATTTTTATCGAATCGTCTACTAGGCAATTCACGAAACATGTTCATAGGTTTATCTCAAAAATGATTTCGTGGATGAAAATCGATTTTTCTGAAGAGAGATGGGACTTAATACAATGAGATTTTAATGAGTTCTTTTTGAAACACATATCACAGGAAAATGAATTCCTCATCAAATTTATTATCAAATCAATTTTGTGTGAAAAAATAGAAACTAAAATCCATGATTATATAAAATACGAAATAAACGTTATAAAAACTAGAAAAAAGAGTTAGTAAAAGAAAGTGCTCATTATCAGTCATGGAATATGATGCAATAATAACGTTATAATCACTCTAAGCCAAATAATGAAAGAGATCTCTTTCTTTTTGATTTCGTTCCAAATATTCTTTTTCAATTAATAAATCAATACATTGCTAAAATAAATATTATTCAAGATTATTTTTTAATCAAAAATGAAAATTATACCTTGATCATAGGAATTTCGGGTTTAAATCTTGAATTTAATTGTTGAATAACTTCTTGTACTAATAAGGTATGCTTTAATTGTTTTCTCGCTTTCATTATTCGAACGATAGCAGCCTAAAAATGTTAATATGAAATAATTTGAATAAAAATAACATTTCGTTTTTTTACTTGTATAACTATTTTTCGATCTTCAATAATTGATTTATAAATAGATTTAGTATCTACTGGATTTTGTACAGATGTTCCTATTGGTTTAATTAAATTAATTTTAATTTTATTGCTAAAGAAAAAAACAAATGTAATAATTTCGAAATTTTATAATTAATATTAAACCTGCGAAAATTTTGACTGATTTCAATGATAGAATTCGGTGTAATATCACTTTCGTTTAAATTTTCATTTAATGTATCTGGATTGATTTCTGTACATGTTAACACTTTACTTTTTAATAAACCCACAAGAACTTGTGCAAATGATTCAGGGGTGATTTGAGTTGTATCTAACATTTTTTGAACTGTCATATTTTCGAATTCATTAAATAAAAGTAATACAGCCATTTGATATGTTGATACCTATTATATTTAAAAACAAAACGAAGAGAAATTATTTCATAGAATAAATTAATTCACACTTGTAAAATATATTTTGGCTTAGTATATAAGGTTTGCAATTCGCCCTTTGAGTATTGAAAAAGGCATTTTAATTGACGGCCACTAAACTTTTTCGAATAAAAAGCTCCAAAATCATCCAATGCTGGTTTGAGCTACAAGATAAATGAAATAAAATAAAAAATAAGTATTGAAAAGTATTACTTCAGTTGGTAAATTGAAAATTGGTGGAGTTGTAAATGGCCACGAATTTGACGTGAGAACCATAACAGAAAAATCAACTAAAATTAAAAGAAGATATTATACAACAATTAATCTTTGGATTGATCATACGAGTTCTAATAGAGGGTTGACCTTCCCCATTCGTTTTATATTCCTCAATTGTTTTACATTCCTTAATTGTTTTATATTCCTTAATTAAACTTGTACTAAGACGAATATCTTGAAACATTCGTTGTAATTTTGATGCATATTCAAAACCACAAGTTGCCTAAAAGACAAGATTTCAGACAGAAAATATTGAATTATGATTTACTCTTAATTTTGTTATCAATGATTCTTCACAGTCATCTGATACACTTAGTTGCTCAACTAAACGTTTTGCTAATAATCTTCCATAAAATTTTTGAAAAATATCTTTATCTTGTATATAATTAAAAACTATCTATAAAATATAAAACTAAATTAATCATATGATGATTAAATAGAAAATAATACCATGATTTCATTGATTTTTTCTTCAATGTCACCTAGTTCAATTTTATTTCTATAAAGAAAAAATAAAAATTACAAATTTTACATATTAAAATTGAACTAACCCTTTACGTAAAATTAAATCACAATAGCGAGCTAATAATTCAGCAGACTTTGCTGATTTTTGAGCTTCTTTCACTATTGCATTATCATTGATAAATTTACCACAAGCCTATAAATTGCATGAATAAATAATATATGTAACAAAAAATAAATATTTTTACTCTATCGAGAGCAGTCATATAACCATGTTCACAATCAAATGCTTCTTTGACCACTTTAAAAAATCTCACATAAATTTCAATAATTGCTTCAATATAAGTTTTAGGATCCTGATCAGAAATGAAATAAGAAGCAAATGAAAATCATTAGAAAATAAAATTTTAATTTACTTTGTTTGCCGTAGCACTTGTACGGTTAACCACATCTATGCCAATGTCATATATTTGTTTTTCGAAAGCTTTCTGGATGGGTTCGTTGCCTTTCTCTATTCGATTAACCAATTTGAATAGAACATGTAAATCTATGAAAAAAACAAGATTCAAGGTAAATTTTCTATAAATAAAAATTGAATCAATTGAGATTTTCGGCTTTAAATAGAGGGACAATAATTATATTCAAAGCATGTTTATTTTAATAAAGTATATCACGACTGTAGTAGAGCTCTGAATGGGATAGGCCGGGCCGAAGAAAGTCAGCCCATGAGCGATTTAAGGGTGATCTATCTTGTTAAAAATTTTTCTCAAAGATAGTTAACTTGCCATGTTAGTCAAAATTATTTATTGCCGTTAGCTATCCATCTATTTGATGAATTAAATCAGAATTTACGGCGTAGGGTGTGATTATGAGTGTAGGTGTTGATTTACGTCTTTGTTCTTTCTGTACTCACATCTTGATCAGCATTAATTGATGAGCACGCGATAAGAGATAGTAATCATTGAGAAGTATCAATGAGAATAAAATTAAAATTAGAAAAAGTAATTGATGATGATGTATTTGTTAATGGCTACAAATTATTTGTTCAGCAAAAATATTGAAATGCTAAGTAGATTAGTGCTAAGTAAACTGTGTGATTGCTCAGTAAAAAAATTGAATGCTAAGTAAAAAAAATTGGATGCTCAGTAAATAATTTGTTTCTCAGTAGAAAAAATATTTGCCAAGTTAAACAAATATTCACTAAGTTAAAAAAATAAATCCTAAGTAAATAATTTTTTTTGTTAAGTTAATAAATTGAAATTACAGTAAAAAAATCAAAATATTAAGTAAAATATAAATTATTACTAAGTAATTTCGAATAAAACAATGTTCGAATATCTAAGATAAAAAAAATTCTTTATGTTGGTATGATACATACATTTTTCTTCTTGCTATCAAGGATACAATTACCTCACACCTAGTACTAACAATTCATTAGAGGCAACCAACAGAGTGATCAAAGATGAACACACGGTTAGAGAACTACATCCATTATCAAGATTTTTTGTAATAGCCAATGACATCGTACGTAGATGGTCTAAATCTCGGGATCCAAACCAAATAGATCCAATTATTTATTCATCAGAGCCAACAATTACATTAAAAAAATGGACTGATGCTTATCATTTTGCTAAATCGTCGAAGTTGGTATTACAAATACCATCGAGCCGAAAAGGTGCTATTGATTATTATATACCAGCTGGTGAAGCGCAACACATTACACAACATGATATTCAAAAATACAAGAAAAAAACCTGGAACTCCTTTGATCAATTCAAGATTCTTCAATTCGGTATATGGAAAGTGACTTTATCTAATGATGGAACGGAATGGAAAAGTGACACTTGTAATTGTTCAAACTTCTTCAAAGAATTTATTTGCAAACATGTCATTGGAATGGCTATTAGATTGAAGTCTTGTAAACCACCACCATCGCCCAAAGACATAGCTTTAGGACAAAAAAGAAAACGAGGACGACCTCGAAAAGCTACAACAACTTTACTAACATAATAACTGAACAATTATATTTTTTTACTTAGATATTTATGTTTCTTCACTTAGACAAAAATATATATTTACTTAGATATGATCAACATTTTACTTAGAAATTATCGTATGTCTACTTAGAATTTAAATAAAAACCTTTGCAAAAATGATTTTTTTTATTTAGAATTCTATTTTTGAAATTACTTAGCAAATATTCATTTTTTTACTTAGCTTTTATTTTAATTTACTTAGCAGTTAAATAGTAGCCGTATTTTTTTATGGTTAGATATCCCTTATCATTAATTAAATATTGTAATCTTCTTAACATTGAACTAATCAACTGAGAACATATTTACAAATAACATATTATAAAAAATTGTTTGTAGCGAGGAAATTTCCTCAGATACTCCTTTCGATTTCAATAATTTTTTTTTTACCTATGGTTAGCATATAATGTCCCACAAAAAAAGACTGAAAGAATTTAGGTTTCTATGATTCCTTTCAAAAGTTAGGAAGATATTTATTTTGTTCTTATAGTGCACAATATAGAATATTGAAAAATACGGGAGAAAAACTTGAATTTTTTTTTCATTTGTAGTGTTCCATATCTAACGGGTGATCGGAAATTATTTGGACAAACGTTTGTTCATTTTTGACCCGCCTGAAAGTATTTCCGACGAGTTAAAATCTATGAGTTAGAATCAGAATTTTGTTCTCCTTCCGAATATGGACTTAGAAATTTAGTGTCGGTTTCTATTCGAGAGTAGTGAAATAATCTTTGAAAGACCCAACAACTTAGTTTGGATGGCAACTTTTCCGCACATTACTGTATTTTTGCTGTTGTCATCCGAAACTAAAAGGTAGAACCGTTATTATTATACCAGCTTGTAGAGCAAAGCCTATCCTAAAAAATGTGCTGTGCGAGTTTTGTTGTCTTTAAGCAAGGCTTCTGAATTTTCGTTTTTCCTAAATCGTCATTTTTGAAAAATCGTTTTCTTTTACCGAAAACGTTTTACGTGGAAAGGAGCTCTTGAAAAAATGCGTATAACTTACCTTGCGTAAAAGCTACAACTTAGTTCAATATCCCATTTTGTAAAGAATTTTTTGCTGTACAAAACTACTGAATCCGAGAATTTTTAGCATCTTCCCAAAAGGACTTGTATGGGTTAGCAAAACCTGTTTGTTCGCAGCCCAAATTAATTGTTTAAGCGTTTCAAAGATTATTTCACTACTCTCGAACAGAAGCCGACATCAAATTTCTAAGTCCATATTCGAAAAGAGCACAAAAATTCTGATTCTAACGCATAGATTTTGACTCGTCGGAAATACTTTCAGGTGGGTCAAAAATGAACAAACATTTTGTCCAAATAATTTTCGATCACCCGTTATTATATCCATAGAAAATACTCAATCTTTTAGTTCTTTCTCTTGGAAAGTTATAGATTTTTTGCGTATAGAAAAACTACAGATATTTGTAAAAAAAAGAATAGAAAATGATACATTCGATAAATTTATTGAAACTAAAGAGTTTCCTGTTCGTGAGATAGTTAGTCGTTCAATCTGACAATGATCATCGTCATAGACAACGTTATCTCTCATCTGCCACTCAGAAGCTTCCAACTTAATATTTTAATCTTTTATCCAATATATCTGTAATCAACGATAGTGTGACAACGCTCTTTTACGTAAAACTCTGCGCTGCATAGCTTTTCTCTCATAAAAACGAAATTCTATAACTCGGCAAAAGTAAGAACGAAAATACTAAAATTTTCTAGGAACATAATAGATATCAAGTACTACTAGAGAGAAAAAAATCGTTTTTGTGTCGCATTTTTCAATATTCTGTATTATGCGCTGTATAAGCAAAATAAATATCTTCCTAAGTGTTGAAAGAAATCATAGGAACCCAAATTCTTTCAGTGTTGTTCCTAGGGTAGTAAATGTTAGCTATTTTAGGAAGTTTCCTCATAAGTGTTTTTTTATTATTTTGATTAATAAGTCACCATCAAATAATAGTCAAATAAAAGAAAAAAGCAGAAAAGTCGAAGTTCAAAAAGAAAATCGATGAAAGAAGACTTTCTCAATGAAGAGCAATTTATAAAAATGTGTGAAAAATAAATCATGGTGCAATGCTCATAAGTTTATATATAATCGATTAGAGTTGAAGATATTTATAGACATATCCTGTAAATATCTAATTAACCTTCTATCATATTTTGTTTTAACAGAACTTTTCCAAAATTTCTCTTTTTTTCTTACATTTTTGTTTTCTGTATTTTCAGGCCAATCTTCGTTGTTTTTCATTTTGAGAATACAGAATTAAACTCCTTATCATACGAACTTCTGTCTTTCTTATAATTAGAGTTAAAGGCAAGAAAATTTCGAATAATAGTCTTCTAGTTGTAGCAGATAATATGCCCAAGTTTTACTCTTTGTGAATTTATAGTAAAGAAAACAAAGCAACTTTTCTAAGAAGATCCAACATTTTGTACGCATTTTATTATAGAAATAATTATTTAACTCGAAATTTTAAATATATTTATTGAAATAATTTTCAAGTTTTTGTTTTAAATAAAATAAAATTTAATGTATTGATTTAGGATGTTGCAGATTATTCATCGTTATCAGTACTACGACCAGAGGAAATGGGTTAGTGTATATATGTGAACTATACATTCTATACTTCACTCTATTAGGTGGCGGATTTGAAGGGGATATGATCATTCAAAAACATCCAATAGTACGTTCACTTAAGTCTACATGAAAAAAAAAAGTTCTTATCATTTTTTGTAGGAATATAAAGGAGTATCAACAAAAATGAATTTAAAATGGTTGAATGGAATTGTACCCTATTATATAGATAAAAGCATTTGTTTGTATTATTTTTATTGAATTAAATATAAAAATAATAATGTTTTTCAGCTGAGAGTCATTCAGTTCTTATTGTTGATGCAATGAAACGTATAGAGGATATGACGCGAGTGAATAATACACCATGTATTCAATTTCATCGACAAACTGAATTTAATCTATCTAGTGTTATTATAAATAACGGCACAGGATGTTCAGCAACCGTAAGTACAAAGATTTTATTAGAGACTATGGTTGAAAAGAGGATATTTTGTAAGGTAGGACGTAATTTGGGTCTGAATAAGATGACCTTGATGCACACTTCAAATGTTAGCTGNATTCTGCCATATACGATTCGATATATCTTCATCTACTTTTCCAATTGTGAAAACCGCAGATATCTATTTTGTTCCTTTCAAAAATTGTTAGTAAACTTACTCATTTTTAACAAAAGCAGCTCGATCGTGTTTCGCGTCCTAATCTCGGAGTAGTTACACTATAATCTTTCTTATCTGCTATTTATTTAAATATAAACATATTCGTTTCAAATGAATTTTTGAATTGGCAGTGTGTTCTGATAGATAAATTAAAAAATTTCGGAATATCCGGTTTTTTTTGAGTAGTCCCGAAATTTTTAAAATATCCTGATCTCAAAAAGTTTTCAAGATAATCCTAATTCTCCTGAAAGAAGACACAGATGGTTGCTTTTCGGTCTTTTAAAACTTCTCAATAAGCAGTACACTATCATTAATAATTCAAAATTAATTACTAACACAATTGAAGTGTCTTACCAGTAAAGATAGATAGAAATTTTTTCATGTTAGTATTATATAAACCAATTTCATGAAAATTTGGATAATTCGTAACAAGAAGAATACGTTTTATAGATGATGGTTCAATATTAAGCCATTCAATTTTGTTATGAATCAAAGGTAAAATTTTTGAACATAAACGATCAAGTGTTGAATTAGCTAATGGATAGATTGAATCATTGGATAAATATTTCATTAATGTTAAATGATTTGTAAAAATCGAATTGTTTGCAATTTTATTAAGTCGATCATTAACACCTATTAAAGAATAAAGAACTTCAACATTGTTCAGTTTTTTTAATATATAAATAAGAATTTCATCAGGTAAATCATTCAAATGAATAAATGAAGATTTCATGTTTATAGTCAATTATCGATTTATTCTTTTAGCTCAGAAAACCCCAAACAAACTGAAAAAAATCAGACGAATTAAAACTGAATGAATATATAAATCGTCTGGAATAGACCAATCACATTTCTTAACACAGAGTTAATTTTTTCATTGTGTTTGACCCCTATACATATATCTTCTATTCGACCGATATTGTTGATGAAATATTTTTTTTCTCGTGGATAAATATTCTTTCTTTTTCTTCTATTTGAAAATGAACATTTATTTATTTCGAATGAAATGTACAGAATTAAGTGAACAATGTTCTGGGGTGGATGTTGGGTGTGATTGTCTGGGTCTGGATATTTTTTCTCGTTATTGATACCCACACCCACACCCACACCCACTCCCTTATTACTAGTCTCTCTGATATGTAAAATTGAACAATTCGATCAACCGTTGGGATAGGTAAAAAAAGATATGATTTTCAAAATTGTTAAGTAATTGGTCAAATTTGTATGAAACACGGTCTAAAATGAGTGTAGAAGTAAATCGGGTAGAAATTCGCACACCCCCCCCCCGCTCCCACACCACACCACACCCATACCTGGAAATATCTTTCTGACAGAATGGTAATTATTATGTTTCTTAAGAATTTTCTCTTGTTGTGTATGAATCTGCGGATATGCTATGAGAGATGTTGTGATAATTTCGGAAATCTGAACATACCTCTTATCTCCGCTTGAAAAATAAGAATTTAAAAAAAAGGGCTCTGATAAGCACTGGCTCCTGACATGCTCTTTCCAACAAAAAAATTTAAATAGATAGAATGAACCCGGTCAGAGAAATCTTGCACGCCTAATGAACTATTTTCGACTCTTGTTTGGTGAGTAGCTTTGTCGAATATCATGATATACGGTTGAAAATTTTCTCATAGCCTCTACACTATATCTCCAACATATCCTGAAAATTCCAACCAATTCCGCTGTACCTGATCTGACATTGATTTTTCAGAGATAAGTCTTAATCCTTTGGTAATTACTGAAAATTCTTTTCCTATTTTAGTATGCTACAAGATTACATAAGAAATTTGTTTTGAAGCAGTAACAATTTTTATGCTTTCCTTGATATAGATTTCATGGTCGATAGTATTTTTTATATTGTTATGTTAGTTTACTTCGTTATGACATAGGAGTCATTTTTGAAAACTTCTTGGAAATTTGCTTCTGGTGTATGAGTGAGTTTTAAAAACTTGCAATGGAGTTCTACATTTTATTTATGGATAATCCCACGTACTAGGTAAGATGTTTTAATAATTCGAATATTTGCTGAAAATATTATTTTATTTAGTATTATTTTCTAAAATTATATGATTCGTCAGAAAAATTTCTTATTTTACTGAAACTCGAACACTACTCTTACAAAGCATAAATTTAAAAAAAAGTACTTTGCTTAAGTCATTAACAACATTAAAAAAAATGAAGTTTACTTCATTCAAGTTGTATTAATTGTACTGTTTTATGTTTGTTAATAACATATGATCTTGTTGTTATTATTTTGCATGAATCAACAAATATTTAAAAAAACTGAAAGTTACATTTTGATAATTTTAAACAGTTTCAATCATTGCGTAGTTATTGAGTAATATGTGAGTTTTACCTTATTGCTGAAGAATTTATTCACTTATATGTATTTTAGAGTACTTTTTTTTGAAAGATCACATGGTTGTGTTTTTCTTTGATTTTATTTTTGTTTTGAATATACTACATTGATTCTTTTTTTCAAGTACTTTTATATGTTTACATTAGAACTTATAAACATGAAAAGAAATTTAGCAATAGTAGAAAGTTACATTCTATTTCCTTTTGGAAACATTATTTAAATAGAGATCAATCTTCGAAAGAAGATCATTGATTTTCTTACTGAATAATATTTCATGTTTACATGAATATTTCTTGGTTATTTTATATCAGTAAAGCCGAAATAGAAGCGTAAATAAAATGAGAAAGATAAATATTACAATCCAAAGAAAAAAAAAAGGCAAAAAAAATATGTGAAAAAATTAAAAAAGGAAAGAATAAATTGCATTTTCTTGAATAGGAAACATACAACATGTACATTTGAACTGATTATAAGATAAATATAAATGTGGTTCTCTGAAGAGATAAAGATTAACGATTTAAATGAAATAAAGAGTATACAGAAAAATACAAGTTGTGCCTTTTTTCACGACTATGATTAACAAGAAATCTTAATGTGATCAATAAATTTATCTGTTATTGAAAGTTTGGTTTTGAAATAACGACTAAATAATTCAGGCAAAGAAGTTAAAAAAAAACAAAAGATTTTAAAGTAGAAAAGAAAAAGAAAGCGAAAATTTTGTTGTCAGAAGTAAAAGGCATCGAAAAAATTTCCTTTTAATCAACAATGACATCAGATTTTTCATGCTTTTTTTTCCTCCATTTAATCATTTTATAGAACAGACGTTGATATTATTATAAGAAAGAAGAATTTTTTCATGAAAAAGAAATACTAAATTAAAGTTAAATTTTTCGACGTTTTTTCCATATCAATCATTTGGATTATATATCTTAAGCCAAATAACGTAGAACATCTTTTTCATTTGATTGACGTTCAAGATATTCTTTTTCAATTAATATATCAATACATTTCTATAATAAACAAATATTTATCAATAAAAGTTTTTCTTTTTAAAATATAAATTAAATTTCATTTTACTTTAATCACACGTATTTCTGGTTTAAAACGTGAACTTAGTTGCTGTATAACTTCTTGCATTAATAATGCATGTTTTAGAGTTTGCCGAGCTTTCATTATTCGAATGATTGCAGCTTGAATAACTATTATTCGATCTTCATCAATTGTTCGATGTAAATCTTCGATATCTTTTTGTTTGATTAATTTTAATGGTACATTCAAGTTTATTTTAGTTTTTTTACTAGAAAAAAAATTTAAGAATTTTTTTATATTAAGCCTTTAGGCAAAAGTTAAGTTACTAATAAAATGATTCAATAATATAATTATCATTAATCAGCTTTGTAGACATCATAGAAGTTAACAACAGAAGGAAAAAAATCCAATGCAAATTATTCGTATATAATTTGGTCCTAATCTATTATAAAACTACAATAAAATTTTCTGTAACACTATTAACTGTTACTCAAGTTGCTTTGATAGTCTTATTATGAATTTTATTGTTTTCTTCTTTTATTATTTAATAAATTGTTCAATTTTCTATCTCAATGTTTTCTAATTATTCTATTCTCATGTAATATTTATCTTTATCTCATTCTGCAACAGCTATTAAAATGATTAATAAAATATACTAACCTTTTAAAATCTTCAGCTATGTTAATATTATAATTCATTTTAATATCAGTCTCTTTAAAATCTTTGTCAAATTCATCAACATTAATTTCTGCGCATGTTATTAATTTACTTTTCAATAAACCACAAAGAACTTGTAAAAGTAAAGCATCTTCAATTTGAGTTTCATCTTTCATTCTTTCAACTGTCCAACTTGATGATTTATTAAATAAAAGTAAAACTACCATTTGATATGTTGATACCTTTAATATGTAAAATCAAACAAACAAATAAAAATTAAATCATAGACTAAATCAATACATACATGTAAAATATATTTTGGCTTAGTATATAATGTTTGTAAATCTCCTTTTGAATGTTGATGAACCAATGTTAGCTTACGACCTGTATGTTTTTGCTGGGTATAGAATTTAGTAAAACTATCAAATGGTTTTTTAAGCTAAAAAACAAAATGTTTAATAAAAAAATTAATGATGATAAAAAGAAATAAATTTTACTTCAATTGGTAGAACAAAATTTGATGGCGCGGCAAACGGCCATGAATTTGAACTGAAAACCATGACAGAAAAATCAACTAAATCAAAGAAAAAGAAAAAAACAAAACAAAAATTATTATATAAAAAATTTAGAATAAATTTCAAATACCAATATCATCAAGTTTATTTTCTTCACAATATTTTCGATATGGATCAATTAAATCTTTACTAACACCAATGTCTTGAAACATTCGTTGTAATTTTGATGTATATTCAAAACCACATACTTCCTAAAATTGTTATTCAGTATAGATTTTAGTTTTTTTTTCTCTGTATAATCAAGAATATATTATATTCACTTTTAATTTAGAAATCATTGATTCTTCATATTCATCAGAAGCACTTAGTTGACCAACTAAACGTTTGGCTAACATTTTTTCATAAAATTTTCGAAAAACATCTTTATCTTCAAGATAATTAAATACCACCTAGAGTAAAAACAAAAAATTAAATAAAAACAAAAAAAAAGGAATATTAAAATAAAAAAATAATACCATGATCTGATTGAATTTTTCTTCCAAATCTGTCTCTACTACAGCTTCAATTCTAAAAAGAAATAAAATTTTTAATTGATTATATTTTAGTAATAAATATCAAATTTTAAACAAACCCTTTTCGTAAAAGTATATCACAATATCGAGCTGATAATTCAGCTGATTTTCTTTTATTATCAGCAGCTTTTGTTACTGCATTATTATTAATAAAATTTCCACAAGCCTAAATACACAAGTTAATAAATAAGATTATTTTCAAAATAATCTATTTACTTTATTAAAAGAATCTATAAGATGTTCGTTATTATGAAAAAACTTTTGTGCAACATTAGACAAATCTTCATGAATCTCAAGAATTGTTTTAACATAAAGTTCAGGATCCTAAAAAAGATCACAGAAAAATAAGTATAATTATATGGTACAATGATAAATTAGTTTTACATCAATTGCAGTGGCACTGATTCGTTCTATAGATTCAATACCTTTTGGACGAAAATTGTTTTCAAAAATTTTTTTCAATTGAACGGTCGCATTTGGTATTCGACCAACTAATTCGAATAAACATGCGAAATCTATCAAAAAATAAATAAAATAAATCATTTAGAATTTAGTAAATCAATTAAGCTAATAAATTTTTGTTTGGTTTCGTGGAATTTCGCCAATAAGAATTTCGCCAACGGAATTTCGACAGTGTCCATTTTCCAGTGTAATTTNCCTTAGCAGGTTCGGGTTGTCTGGTCGCTACCTTTTGTTTTGATTGCATTTGTTGTGTTATAGCATTCATTGTTGAAGGGGTCAGTTCCTTTAAAGGGTACTGACGTTGGGTACTAGATATTTCATCGGTTCCGTTTACAGGGATTGTTAGCAGTTCAATCCCTTTGGAAATTTTCGAATCGGATGGGAATTGTGGACGGGAAGTGGCCTGTTGTTAGCTGGAATTCAGCGGTAGTTGATGCATCTTAGATGGAATTGTGGTGGATTTGTGAGGTTTCTTATGGCCATTTCTCAGTTCCATTTGAAATGGACCACTTTTTGATGGCTGCTTTGGGAATTGGGAGAATTCCTAAAGTCGAATCCTTGGACATTGCTGGGTGAGTCGCGGTTTACATCGGTTATCCAAATGACACTGCGGTTCTCTACGATGAAATCGCAGTTTTCCTAAAATAATTTTTCCATGGGCAAAAGAGGGGAAGCCAAAGATTCTTGGATACGTTTTTCTAGCGATGGGGAAAGACATGCAGGTAATATCAGTGCGTAGATCGCTTTGCGACTCTGTAGATTCTAACTAGTCTAAATATTGCGTGCTTTCGTTCTTAATGTAGAAAAAAGATCTTATTCTAGGTGCCAATAAATACGGCGGTCGTATTTTTGATCTAGCACCATCAGAATAGGACGGAGATAGACATGTATGAACCAATTGAATTCTAGGCTTAGGCAAAAACTCAATATTTGATGTCGAACTTGGTCGTGAGAAAAGATGCTACGCACGATAAATTCCTGAACCATTAAATCAATGTGTATAGCAGGCTAATACGATTGTTGAACTGACAAAACAAAGAGTAAAATGGTATTTCCCACTTCCTATGACCTACGTCGCATGCATATTATCATTAGGAGAGAAGAAGTTGTGTTGAAGATGTATCTGACAATAAAAATAAATTTAAAAATATGACGATATTACATGAATCAAATAAATTTGTAGAAAAGTAATTCTAAATGCAAACATTTTCGAAAGGATAAAATATCATATCGTACCTATCAGCTATAAAAATTCTTATAATTTTGATTTATTCATTGATTTGGCACTTTTTTTAAATAAATTAATTTAAAACCTACGCAAATATACCATAAAATCAAAACAGTCAGAGCTTGTAAATTTCACATTTTGTCCCTCCATAGTGGGGTCGCATAGAGAAGCTTTGTATGAAGTTTGATTAAGATCTTTCGAGGTCCGGGAAATCAAATTTGTGATAAGTTTTTCACCGTTGTGACCTTGATTTTTCCGCTACAGATAAGCTGCTTTGAAAAAGTAACGAGTTGTTTTCAAGTTTGAACAATTGTTTTCGGAGTAGTGGTAACTAGGCCGAGAAATCGAGCACACAATTTCGAGAAACTGTTCACAGATTCGAATTCATCAACTCTGAAAGTCTTTGGTCAAACTTTATTAAAAAAAAATTGTTATTTTCCTGAAATGCCCTTCACATATCGAGAAATTATGATGACGAATTTTCAATTACCAGCTATTCGGTAACGTAATGGTAACTTCCCTCGCCTAGATCAAAGTACTACTTGACAAAAACAAATGAATATTTCAATCGGATGAATGCGCTAACAATTGTGTACTATTAGAGTATAGAAACATCAACGCTTGACCGAAGAACATAGTATGGACCATATCGATCCGTTCGATCAGTATGATAATTGAAAGGGACTTTCAGATACTTCATTGTATTTTAAGATACTTTAGGGTACTTCAAAGTACAAAAATATTCTTGTGATAGGATCTCAGTTTTTCGAATAGATTAGATCGTATCAGAGAGTGTTTTGAAGAAATCCCCTAATCAGAAATAGAACTGATCTTGTTGATGTCTATGCAAGGAGGAAACAGTGGACTTCAAGTGCAACAAAGTACGGTGAAGGTACGTCAAAAGCAGTTTAAAGTACAGTAAAATACTTTCAAATTATAGAAAAGTACCTAAAAAATTACAGAGAAGTACTTTAAAGTAGCTCGAAATGCTACCAAGTAGCCCAAATTTACTCCAAGTACAAAGTACGCTGTTTCCACCTAGCCTCTAGACATAAGTAGAAATGGTAGCCATCAAAAAGACAAAAGTACAAAGAAGTGCATTGAAGCTCCTAAACTTACGTAAAAGTACGTAAAAGTACCTTAAAGTACCCTGAAGTACCTTAAAGTACATGAAGTACGAAGTATCATGTTTTCCCCTTGGCTGGATTTCAAATATAACATTTTGCAGTATCTATTATATTGACTTCAGATATGTTGACGACCAAACTATACTTTTGACATTTGTCTTATCTTCTGTCTTTTTAATATAGTACTCTTGAAAGTATATGACTTTGAATCAGTTTCTGTTTGAGAGAAAATAACTCATTTTCTTTAAAAAAATAGAAACAGAACGTCGCTTTTACATAGATAATCTATTCCAGGGAGAAATCACCCAGCTCCTTCCCTCTTCTTATTGTACGGTCAGCTTGATATTAGATTTTGAGACTTTATTGTATCATAATTTATTCTAGATGATTCTGGTCGATGGCCATCTAAAGGTGTATTTGCTTCAATCTCTCAACGTTCAAAAGAGCCACAAAAACAGTATAGATTTCTAGACTTTGTGTTATAATGATAAGTCACTTGAGTTTTTTTTTTAAGATATACGCTTGCTGCAGAGATGGAAGATATCCATATGGGTGATACTCATCTAATTTCATTGAATGATTGTGGTGTGGATGACGATGAACCATCATGTGATCAATATGTAGTTTTGATTGTTGCTCAACATCGAAATAAATTTGATTTTACTGCTCTCGATTTGGGTAAGTCAAGATTTTCAATTCAATCGATTAAAATATCTATCTGAAATTTTAATTGACTAGCTCTTAAAAGTCTAGCAAAAACAGCAAAACAACTTAAAGCAACTGTTCATTTACCTCGTATTGGTGTTGGTTCTCAAGGTAAATCTATATGTAATTAAATGAAAGTTTATAACTTGTCTTTATAATAAGGTTTCAATTGGTATGGTACTGAAAAATTGATCAAAAAATATTTGTCTTCTCGTGGTATTCCAACATATATTTACTATTTCAAACGTGAAAGTGCTACAACGAATAATAAACGAACCAATGAACAATCGTATGGAAATAATAAACGATTATCTATTGAAAGTATGATATTTTTTTTGTGATAATTTCAAAAAACAACAAAAATAAATATTGTTGTAGAGGGTACAATCAATAAGAATCGATTGAAACTTCATTTGCCTTGTTATCTATCTGGTGTACACATCTTTTTTCATGATATTGATGAGAATACGAAAAAAAGATTACAACGTTTCGTTTATGCGTATGTATACCACTCAATTCTTTTTTTTTCCAATATATCATGGGATTTTTTATTCACATTTAGATTTGATGGTGATGTTAATGAAACAGCTGATCCTGATACAATAACACATATTTTAGCTGCAGGTAATTGTCAAGACATACTTGCTTTACGAGATGCTTGTCCAAATGCTTGTGTTATTAATATTGAATGGCTTGATGCATGTATCAGCCAAGGAACAAGACTCAATACAGATATTTATGAACTGTGATGTTTTGTATTGATATATGGACTGTGAAAAAAAATTCTATTTTTGAGAAGAAAAAGAAAGAAAACTATTATTTTTTGTGCAAATTATTTTATTCTTTTCTTGTTTTTTTTGTATCGATCATTTTGTGGATATTCTTTTGGTGGTAATGTTGAATGTCTCGATGAATTTTATAACTAATAAGAAAATAATTTGAGCAAAATGAGAAAATGAAATTCCAATAAATAGAGCATTTTTCATGCTGTCAATGTCTTCATTATTATTATTATGTGTTCTATTCAGTATTTCTACAGTATTTCAATTCACGTCTCATCCTAAACTATACTCATTGTAACACTAGCTTTTATTGCACACGTTTAATTCAATATAGACGGTAACAATAGTATGATAGAAGAACAAAAGAATGATGAACATGCGCGAAGAAATCAAAAATCTATATACGTAGAAACCATTTAAAAAATAATCGATTTTATCTCACATGGCGAATTGGAAGGTTACAAATGCTCAAATGTTACTTGTTCGTTGAATATCGCTTTAATTTTTACAATGTAGAGAGCTCATGCTACTCTTAGTAGAAGACTGCCATGAAGAAGAAACACTTGAAGATGAACGTTGTTGAAAGGATAGTAAGCTTCTGTATTCAATTTAATGATAGTAGTGAAACAATGTCCAGTATTATTGAAACTCACAGAAAGATTGTATCTAGCCAAATATTCCATAAATATTACTTCAGAGATCAATTTAGAAAATTAATTCATATTCGCTAATATTGAAAGAATCTATCAATTCTGTCACGAACGACAGGATAGTTCCCATGCACTGATGACAATGAATGATATTAAATGTTGCAATTGAGTGACATCTACTGTTTGTGATGTTTTTGACATTGGTAGCGCCTTCTACGGACCAAGATTGTATCGAAAAAGAGATAGATGGAATGGTGTTTTACTCTAAGAGAACAACATTGTTTTCTGCATTGATAACTGGAAACCATTCATTGACTATCTAATGAATTTGCTAAATAATCTAAAGGTTCAATCGAAGCAAGATTCACAACATCATAGACAAATACTTGTTTAAATGGCGAAAGCTAGTATGAAATTTAGAAATTGGCTTTTGACTTTTGCTATATAATGTCAAATATTCAAAGAAATACGTAAAATTATTATCAGAAAATAATATTTCAGAAACGAATAGACTTAAATCGATAGCAATTAGTTAATGAAAAAATATACGATAGTAGGATTTAGTTGAAAAAGCAATCTTATTTCTTTAACAAGCTCTATATTTCTATGAGAAACAAATTTAGTATTGAATAAATTGAGTGAAAACATTTGTATTGTTTGAGTGGATTGAAACAGTATGCCATTCAAAATCTTTTTCCAGTCGTATTACCCATCTTTAGCCTATACTCAAAAAAGATTATTCTAAATAAACTAATTTAGACGAATAGCAGTCCATTTGTCACTTAGATATGTTGAAACATATGACGGGTAAGACTAAAAGCTTTAATTGTGTACCATTTCCGCAAAGAGGGCGAGACTCGTCCGTATCAGTTTTGTAGGCACGACATAGAATTGACAGATGTGAATTATAGGCAAAAATTTGGTAACATTTATTCCATCTTTCAGTGTACATTGAATTCACGAAAACGTAATATTGCCTATTATCGTCATATGATCTTCTTTAAATGTAAAATTCTATTTGTCAATTGAATTTGGAAGTGATAATTTCACTCCTTTTTTTAATCGAAGTGTTTTTGATGTCGAACAATTAGTGCCGATTGCAGAATGCAAAGATTGATCAATCAAAGATTTCAGATAACTTTCAGACATGCCCATATGAAAATCATTATAGCTCTTCATAAATGCACCAAAGAAAAACAATATCGAGAAAATGTCATATGTTAATAACGACAATTAACACAAAATGTTACTTATCACGTAATACAAAAGAATAGAAACCTATCTAATCTCATTGTCAAATGATCAATTTTGAAGATCGATCCATTGTAAAGACAGTAGTACGTAGAATAACCTATTTCTATCTAATTTATTGTCCATTTTTTGAACTCTGCTAGCAACCATTGAGTAGCATGACATAATTTACTGTCAGTATTATGATATTTCACGGTCATGAGATCAATATTCTAATAACACTTATTGAAATATCATGTGCTGATAGCTTCTTTGTCGTTTGACTTATTTCCATTTCAGAAAAATGTTATTCTTAGTTTTAACACATGCTGTTTTATTCTGATTGATTTTTTCGACAAAATTACACTAATATAATTTTTAAAATTAATTTTTTATTTCACTAAGAAAAGGTGATAGATATTGGCATACACATAAAATAAATCTCATCATATGATCTCCAAGTTAAATTGATGCTTTTTTGTTTCACTGATAAGTCTGTTCAACAAGGTTATTGATGTCTTGAAAATAAATTTTTATGGATCGTCTATGGACTATTTAGTTTAAAATACTAATACTAAATAAGTAACATAATTCAAATACTTTCTAAAAAAAAAAAAAACTTTGCAAAATTTTTATTCTATAATTTCTAAAACTTCATAAAAGAAAACAATATTTAATCTATAATTATCATGAAGCTTGACTACAGTTTCTTATCAAAGTTTAATCACATTTTCTTTCGATTGTCTTAATTGTCTCATGTCGCTCGTAAGCATTATTTGATCAGATTAGCTTTGCATATAGACAGCTGCATTATGTCTTTATTTAGTAATAAAAAGTACTTTGCATAACAAAGAAATATTCAATTCAGTACTCTCGTTGGATAAAAAGATGTACGGAACACACACGATAGTTTTCTTGTTTTAATAAAAAAATATAAATAATTCATTATTTTCTATATTTACAGATCTAAACAAGTTATACAATAGCATATTTCTTCAATACCATTCTCTTTAAAAGGCTTGATTACTAAATTTTTAATTTAGGTAAGATAAATTTCTAATTCTTTTATTTTTATCATTTACCATTTTTATTTGAACTATCTTTGACAAATAATAGTACGCTTTTGTAATCGAGAACATAACAAAAAAAAAAAACAAACAAATCTGTAGCCATCATTTTCTTTTCATTTCGAATCACCAAAATTATCGCTCATATATATCATTTTGTCAATATCAGAGATTTCGCAATTCTGTCTAATTCAGTTATTTCCTCATCTGATAAAAATGTGGGAAAAGCTTTTGCTTTGATCCATTAATGCTGATAGTTTACATGATCAGTTAACAAGGTGCTCAATCAAAGTATTTTTTGCGTAACGTACTAAATGAGATTTTATTGAAGACGAACCAAAGATAAGAAATACATATGCTATGTGAAAAAAATTGACGCAGAATTCATCTTGTTTGGTGTTTGACGAACTTAAAATTCAAAGTGACTCTTTTAACTCTCAGTAAGATTTTTGTATGATAAACAAAGTTTTCTGCTACAAACTTACATATCGCAGTTCTCTTTAGTATTGAATCCGTTGATGTGTTACTTACCATTTTGATGCTGAGACAACGTTTTCTTCGGACGCATGTCAAAGCAAAACTTGAAAGTACTTGACTAAAAATCAAGTAAGTCAAAAAAGAGCATATCTTGACGACTTAAATCTTTCAACAATAGAACGAGAGAACAAGTGGATACTGATCCATACAAAATTGAATGGCGCTTAACAATTCATCGTGATTACAAATGAGTTCATTTTTAAAAGAATAGATTGTATTGATAATCTATAGAATCAACTTTTTGTTTTTTGTACTTCTATGGATTACTATAGAAACATTTCAATTAACGATTGCAAGAGTTTACCGAAGTATCTTCAATCTGTCATATATCAAAAATTCTGATGTTTGGATGTTGTTTACAATTGCGAAATCACTATCTCTTTGTGAAATTTACTTATAAAAAAAAAAGTAAAAATGATTCGATTGCACTTGTCGTCCTCTTCTGTTACATGTGAAAGTCATGAAAGGCTAAAAAAAGATGACCTTCGATTTGTTCAGTTTTGAAACAATTATTTTTAAGTATGACACTGATATTAATGAAAAGGATAACATGTTTTAATTGATAATCAAATAGGAAAATTATTCAAACTACGCATTCAACATTTTTAACCAGCAAAAACCGAATGTTTCCAACATGTATTTAAATACACTAATACAAATTTCATTGAAGCAAGCAAGTATATAGATGATGTATAAATCAATAGTATATTTATTCACATATTTTATCACATTTCTTTATGGGTAAAGACATTAAGGATCCATCATCATTCACTTCAAAAGAACAATGCGAATGTGATAATGAGGTAAGTATTAACCATTCTGTTTCAAGTAAAAAGATAAGACATTCTTTAATTCAAGGTAACAATCCTCATAATCACATGACAGATAAACAAATATTACTTTCAATACAAACGAATGAACTTCATCGAATAGTATTAGTAACATTATCCCGTGTTTTTTGTTCTTAAGTTTGAAGGATGTACTACTCATTAAAAATAAACTTTGTTGTCTATATTATTTTCAACATTTATTTACCTAACAATAAAGAATATCTGTAACTTCAATACATAGTAATTTTTTAAAATTCACATTCAGCTAAGATCTCCTTGTAAAAGAACTCAAATTATTAGAAATTTAAAGCATTACTCTACTGAAACAGTTATTATGTATTAGAACTACCATTAAGCGTGTCCTTGAAAAAAAAAAATGCTATCAATATAATCCATCTATAAAAGGAAATCAATATGAACTGATAACCTAAAAGAAAAACGAGAAGCAAACAGCTAATATATGTTATGAAACTTTATACGAAATTGGAGGTATGGTAGCTGATTGATGAAATAAAAGCGATGCGATAGGTCTTCTATTTCAAGAACAGCGACATCTAACAAAGCAAAGCTAAAAACTTATAGAGGACATGATTCATCGAATATGATATGTTCGTTCAATGATATATTCAACTTGTTCTCTCATCAATTCTCTT